GTAGAGTGTAGCCTTCCTTGCCTGGCGCTTTGGTCCCCCCCCGCCATCTGCCTGGACTCTGCCACAGTTGCAGTCCCCAAATAACACACAGGACGCTATATTAATTACGAAGCTGTTGGCCGTTTGCTTGGTTTCTTACTGGCTAGCTCTGACTTAAGTATTTAATCCCATAATTGTTAATCTAAGTACTTTCTCTCACCAGAGAAAAGGGTCCGGACCTCTTACTCCTCTGGAGGCTACATCGTGACTGACTCTGCCTCTCTTTCCCAGAATCCTCCTTGACTCCTAGTCCCACCTATCTTGCTTCCCTATTGGCCAACAGTGCTTTATTCAATAATGAGTAAGAGAGACAGATTTACAGAACGACATCTCCCATGAGCATTGCTCATTCTTAGGGGAGCTATCGCTGGCTGTGCGTTTCTTCTGCCCAGTGGCCCTGTCTCTGCTGTATCCAGCCCTCCTGTCTTGCTACATCCTCGGGGCATCCCTCCGACCAGGAGCCCTGGATGACATCGACAGTCTACCCCTGCGGGTAAAGTCATCACAGAATCATGTCCGTCGTTTGCCTTTTCTCATCCCTGTGCCCGAGGGACAAAGTTTCCAGGCCAAAAGCGATCAAAGCCGGGTCTGTGCCATCACAAACAGCCCTAAGCTAAGGAGGGTCCACCAAGGTCCCCAGCAACTGCACACACACACACAGAGCACATTCACCCTGGCGATTCCACAGCTCAGGGGCAGTGGCCGTACTGATGACACGAACTCCTTTCCTACGGTGACCAGTAAGAGAGGTTGGCCAGCGACAAAGAGGTAAATCTACTCAGGGATTTCATGTCACAGGAGTCTCCAGAAGGTGGGCAAAGGGTGGACTCTTAACGAATGCGCATTAACACCCAACCCTCTCATCACGGAGGAACTCCCCGGAGCACCTGCGAGTTTTACGGCACCTAACACGTGACAGGCCCTCAGTCAAGGGTTTACTGTGTGCCAGGGAACAGATGCCAAGTGCACCTTGACCAGAAACTGCAGCGGAAAGCTTTGGAATGTGTCCCTATTTCCTGTCCACCTGCAGGACTCCCCACCGCCCAACACACATTCCCTGTACACCGTAGGGGCCTTGGTCTTGATGTTTTGGCAGAGGGGAAAGGGGCCGAGGAACGGCCTCAGGAAGGGAGGAATGCATGAGATTTTTATGCCAGGGCTTGAGAATAACCGGTGTATTCAAAGTGGAAGGGTGTCCTGGTGGGTGCGGAGGATGACGGAGAGCTCGGGAACTAAGGCATAAGATGTGCAAGGATGGGTGGGGACGGGGGGGGGGCCGGGCGCAGCTTTGCTGGACTTGGTGGATTTGTCTGGGGGGCTTGTGTTTGGGAGCCATCTGTATGGCTGGCTTCTCAGGTGGAAAGATGGCGGCTCCTCACTGCAGGTGGCATGGAAGCGTCTGTTGCCCTTCATTTGACCCCTGCTGTGTCCACCCATCGCCTTCCTCCCTTGTTCCCTCTACGACTGGGTAGGGATTAGAAGGTTCGGAGGGAACGGTGTACCAAATGGCTAGGCACCCTGCTTGGCCTAATATCAACCCAAAGACCCCAAGTCTCAGTCCCGGTGGTGAGTATCCAGGAGGCTTCCGTTTGTGACATCACCCGGGGAGCCCTTTGGGTCTTCAGTGCTGTTTCCACCGGGAGGAGCCAGGCCAAGGCAGAACTCCAAGGCCACCTTTGACACAGGCCTGTGACGAGCTGAAGGAGTCACCTTGTACCTTTGTGCCCCAAGGGACTTAGAAACCACACATCTGATCAACACAGTCTGGCAGAAGGGGCCTGAGAGCTTTGATCTGCCTCAACAGAGGCTTCCTAGGCCTAGCTGGAAACCAGGGTCCTTTGTTTCTGTTTCACACTTCCCTGCTAAGACCTTAGATCTTGAAAGGACTGATGTTTCTGGATAGTTCTGTCAGTGGGGTGGCTGCTCTTGGTGCAGCCTGTCAAGAGGACCCCTGGAACTGGTGGCCTACTGCCCTAGGGGCTCTCGGGAAATGGCACCTGCCAAGGAAATTTAGGGCCATGATTTGTGTATGGTCTAGCTTCCTATGCTTTACTCTTGCGTGCATGCTTGCATGAGTGTGTGTGTGTGTGTGTGTGTGTGTGTGTGTGTGTGTGTGTGTGCGCGCGCGCTCATGCATATTTGTGTATATATGTGCGTGTCTGGGTACGTGTTCCTGTGGGTGTACATGTGTGCACATGTATGTGGAGCCCAAGTGACAGTCCTCAGAAGCTTTCCATGTTGTGATTTTTGAGGCGGGGGTCTCTCATTGAGACCCAGGACTTGATGATTAGATGAGGCGGCTGGCCAGTCCCAGGGACCCTCTGACTTTCCAGCACTGGGATGAGACCCAGGATTTCATGTTTACACAGCAAACACTCTACTAACTGATCTATCTCTCTAGCCCACTTGCTTTAATTATCTTCTTTTGCTTCTCTTTTTTGGGGCAGGGTCTCACTATGTAGTTTGGCTGGTCTGGAACACGCTGTGCAAGCCAGGCTATCTATCCTTCAGCTTACAGAGATCGGCTTGCCTCTCCCTCCCAAGCGCTAGCGCTAAAGGCATGCGCCGCCCATGCCCACATTACTAATTACTTAATATTAAATTTAGAGCCGGGCGTTGGTGGCGCATGCCTTTAATCCCAGCACTCGGGAGGCAGAGGCAGGCGGATCTCTGTGAGTCCGAGGTCAGCCTGGTCTACAGAGCGGGTTCCAGGACAACTTCCAAAACAATACAGAGAAAACCACCCCCCAAAAATAAATAAATATTAAAATTAGAATAGGAGGGAGGCTTCAGGAAGAGATGCTGGGGAGCAGGATGGTATAACCATGTCTTGAATGGCCATTCTCACCTTTGTATTTTTGTGGAAGCTGTGAAGACAACGGGCCTCTCTCACTTTCAAAGAAAGATGGGCTGTCATAGGGTTAGCTCCATTTTAATGGCCTCCTATTCCTTTAAAATAGGCCCTGTCTTCTTCCTTCCCTTTCCTACAGTTTCTCCCTAGATTTGACCATCAACTGCCATTTCTCCCCCTCTCTTCCTTTTCCTCCTCTCCTGCTTCTCTCCCATGTCTCTGATTCTAACTGAAATACCTAGATGACCAAGATGCAAATTTCGGGACCCTTACAGGCATCGTTGTTTTGGCTGGCAACTTCAGTAAAGTAAGCAGTAATTAATTGGTTCTGGAAGGTAAAAAAAAATCCAGGCCCCTCGGGAGGGATTTTTGCCATCAGCTGTGGGGAAAATGGACTCTAGAGGTGGGGGAGGGGGTGTTACTCAACCTGTGTTCCACAGGCAGGTCAACGAAGAGGCAGAATTTAGGCTCCTGAGCTCGTGGCGGCATTAGCCAACTGCTAGAGTTTACAAATACTCAAACCCTGGCAACTGTGGTAATTAACCCAAGGTCGGTTTGGCTGTGCCAAAATACCAGTTTGCATCTTGCCAGCACAGCCGTCACACCCGGGAGGTCCACGTTCTTCATTCAGCGGCTCACCCAGCAACACCGGTTTCCTTGAAAATGAAGTGTGTCCCGCAGGGAGACGGCTCTGTGGGCGAAGGGCTTGCTATGCAAACACGAGGACCCCAGTTTAAGCACCAGCACGGAGGAAAGAGGCAGGCTTGGCCGTGTGCTCTTCCTACCCCGGGGAGAGAAACAGCTTGATTCCTTAGGAAGCTCCAGGTCCCAGTGAGAAACCGTGTCTCTGAAATCAGGGTAGATGGCATCTGAGGAAGAATGACGTCCAAGTCTGTTCTCTGGCCTCCACACAATGCGCACACAGTTGCACATGCATGCACACACGTGCTTGGTACACACCTACACACACACGCACAGTGCATATAGCTGCACAGACATGGAGCACACACATGCACACACATACTTGGTACACACACACGGTACATAGCTGCTCATACATAGAGCACGCACATGCCTGCCCATACATACCCATGCACATACATACACACACACACAAACTTGGTACACACGTACACACAGAGCATTGCTGCTCATATACAGAGCGTGCGCACACACACACAAACACACAAATAGGCCTGCCCTGACACACCCACACACTCACACACACTTGGCACGCACACATGCTTAGCACTGGAAGTGGCATTTGCAAAGTGGTTTTAGTTGAAAATGACAATTTTAGAAGTGATGGAGATGGATAAGTTCTCCTCCTCCTCTTCCTTCCTCCTCCTCCTTTCTGAGGCGAGGTTTCTGACTAAGGAACCTATACCAACGTCCTCAGCAGTCCCCACTCATCAGATCTTGTGTTTCTGCTCTTTCTGACCCCTGTGTGCTTGGGTCCCAGCTCTGAAGGAAGCCGCTGGTGCATCTGTGCTGCCCCGGGGTTGGAGGTGGGCAGCTCTTGCCTGGGTTGGCGTCCTGAGAGCTGTGGGTCCTAGAAGCTCTTCCAGTTAAGCCTTGGCCAGGCAAGGAGACAGGAAAAGCGGTGGCCGTAAGGGACGGTCTTGGTTCAGCGTTCCGGGGAAACAGCTCCTCCTGAAGCGCTTTTGGGTGAACAAGAGTGGCCTCTTCCCCGTTGCACCAACAGGCCAGCACACAGGACTCCTACTTTCCCTCTGATGTGGAGAAAGGTCCACCCATCTCCGTGAGGTGCTAAGAGACCCAGCACCGGGGATGAGGTGTGCTGATAGGTAACCATGAGTCACTCCTGGGAAACCCAGCTCTCCAAGGCCTTGTCCTCCCCCACCCCACCCCGTTTTGCCAATACGAGGTGAAAGCAGAGGCTACAGCTCAATCCACTGCCCCGGAAGTCCCGCCCCCTCTCCTCTCAGAAGCCAGACATCCAGTTAGCTGGGCACTCAGGGTGACTTGGGGCTTTGCCCTGCGAGGGTAGGAGGTAACACCTTGTCCTTCTTGCTCAATCTTTTTTTGCTCCTGCAGAACTGGTCCTGGGTTCCCACGTGACTCTTTTCCTGAAGTCAGTGCAGACCTTTTGGGCTGGGTCATCTGGGACACCTGAGACCAGCCTGGGCTGGGTGAGCCGCTGCTGCCGCCGCCGCCGCCGTCTTCATCTATGACAGGGAGAATGCAGGAGGCTTAATTAGTCTGTGTTTACAGAGCTGTTTGAAGACACTCAGAACTCATGAAAGCCGCTCTCATTGTGGTGATCACAACGGGCTGCTCTGGACTTTAATGTTTTCCTCCCTCCCTCCATTTGGAGGCCTGACAGGCTAGAGTTACAGAGCACCTCACTCACATGGGTGAGACCCCGGCGGGAGGAGGCAGACAGGAAGGAGAGAGGTGTGTGTGTGTGTGGTGTGCATGTGTGTATATATGTGTGTGGTGTGCATGTGTGTATATATGTGTGTGGTGTGCATGTGTGTATATATGTGTGTGGTGTGCATGTGTGTATATATGTGTGTGGTGTGTGTGTGTGCGGGGATGCATTGTGTCTGCTGAGTGGGCCTGGGCTCTGCTGCTGTGGTGGCTGTGAGGGGAGGACAGAGCCTTGTCTAGGTGCCGGCTCCGGTGGCAGCAGCGACCTTGTGTTCTCAGAACGCCACCCACGCACGGTGCTGCCAGGAGCTGAGCCGCCCACACAGGATCAGTGGAGCCGTCATGAAAGGAATGCGAGCTTCCAACTGATGTCCGGGATCTGAAGTTTCCTCTTCCCCTCCTCTGGAACAGCTTGAAACTATTGCCTCTCTTCTCTGTGGGGATCCCTAGGAAACTCTCCCTCTCCTCCATCCCCACTGCACTCTGTCACCTCTGTCCCTTGGTCAGGGATCCGAGCAGAGCTGTGCCCCCACCATCAGGGAGCCGTAGCCACACAGAGCTCTGTAGTCCTTTTGCAGATTCTCTAGGAAGCCCGGCAGAGGCAGCCTGTACGCCGGCCTGCAGATGAGGGACTTATTACGGGTTGGGGATGGAGTGGGACACTTCCCACCCGAGCTCCAAGGAGAGAGAAAGTGAGGGAGGAGCCCAGGGTGGTCACCTGGGGGGACTGCAGAGGCAGCTGTGAGAGAGGGACTGTTCCCCTACCACCTCTGTGTGCTGGCTGGGAGCAAGGGGGAGGAGGGAAAGCTGTTTCCTCACACCCTCCATTTTCTGTCTTTTCCTCTCCTTCCCTGGCTGTGGGCAGCAAGGTGGCCTCAGGCTTTCTTAAAAACAAAACAAAACTGTCTTGTGCTGGGTTATAACCCAGTGCTTAGAGTAGTTGCCTCTGTGAAGCCCTGGGTTCCAAACATAGTTATCTTCTTCCTACAATACGATGTCACTGCCATCCCATGATACCACTTGAAGCATCTCAAGGAATACATACGATTGATCCAGTGGTTTGAAAAAAAAGATCACATCAACCATTGTGAAGCTCGCTGTCTCATTTCAGAACACTCCTGCTAGCCCCAGGATAAGCTCTGTACCCGTGAGCACTCAGCCCCGTCTGTCACCTCCACTCTGGACTCCGCAGGCCACGGAGGGCTGGCCCACTTTGAACCGTTCGCAGATGTGGAACTCCAGAACTCGTCCGTTTCGTCTCTGGCTTCTGTGGTTTGCCATCTGCGCTGGGCCGCGCACCCGAGCTCTTTTCCAGCTCAGGTTTAATAATAATCAGTTCACCCCGTGGCCAGGATGCGTTTTCATTCTGTGTTGTTGTTTTTTTTCCTTTGTGGGAACCACCTCATTTCTACCCCCTTCCTCTTGTAAGCCGGTAGACTTGGTGTCGGTGGGGTAATCTGCACCGTGACGCTTGCTACGGAAGTTTGGGGTCCCCAAGAAGTCCTTTGCTTCATCTAAGCCTCCGTTTCCCTGTCTACAGAGCGAAGGCTTGGATTCATATGGCCTGTAAGTCTGTGAATGTGGCAGGGAGACCCTAAGTTTGATGCCAGTGTGGTGATGCCCCACCTTGTCTGAACTTTCCTTCTTACCCCGCCAAAGCAAGGAGCAACCAAGTTTGTGTGGCAGAGTGAAGCTGGCGGCGGACCGCCAAGGCTAGACGCTTTCGTAGCTCTGACCATCGTCTAAGATCTGCTGCTCTAACGGGGAGGCTGATGAGTGACCGCGGTTCAGCAGCGGCCGGCCATCTGAAGAAAGGCGAGGGTGACAGGTGCCAAGTTTAGCATTCCGCTCCCAAAACCAGCAGGTGAGCCCTTGCCAGGAAGGTGTAGCCCTTTAGACAGCACGCTTTAGGAGGGGTTCCGGTTAACGAAACCTATTTCCTATGGACTGCCGGTGTACAGCCTTTGGGTTTCCGGTTGTGTTAATAGACCACAGCAGCTGAAACACTGGGGGTGTTGCAAAAGCTCCTCAAGTGGCCTCTATGCTAAGTAGGGCTGCTTTGCCAGCAAGAAGCTTGGAGAAACGGGATGGAACAGTGAAATGTCCCGGAACCATGTCGTGTCCAGGAGAGCTTGGGATCGGGCTTTGTGTGTGTGTGTGGGGGGGTGTGGGATAGGACAGAGATCTCTGGCCACACAGGGAGTTGACATTCCAAGAGGTTCTCAGGTGGATGGCTACAGAGGGTGTCAAAGAGCTGGGTGGCAGCACAAGTTTGCGGGGACTGGAGAGAGGCCTGGTAGAGATTTAGGAAGCATTCATCCCAGGTGGTGACAAGGAGACCCAGTCAAGGCTTCAAGGATCCTCCCTGTCTGTGACTTGAACCCATGGGCTTAGACTGGGTGTGGCAGGGAGGGAGGAAGGGAGGGCCAAACCCTGAAAAATCCCAGACACTTGGGATAAGGCTTCTCTGGGCCTTACCAAGTGGGTGGCCTGCTGGGCCGGGGAGTTTGGACTATGCAAATGCAATGCTTCCTTGGTTTATGAAACTCTAGGGAGGTAAATTGATTTCTGAGGCAATATGGCATTAGTCTGAGGCAATGGGCTGTCTTCAAATCCACCTAAGCCCTCGTTGGAATCAGATCGGGTGACTCACAGTAGCTGGGAGACTCTCTGAAAGCTGCTTTCTTTCTGAGACACCAGGCTGGTGCCCGGTCACAGGGCAGGGCTCCCTCTGGAATTGGTGTAGCTGGTTAGTACATTGTCTTTTATGCCCTAAGAATGCTGTGAGGAGGCCAACGCAGCCTGTGGCTGTTCGCCGGTCCTGGGACCCTGTGGTCATTTCTCCACCACAGCTTCCCTGGAACTTCCTTCTTCAAGAAGGACGTTTGTGGCCCCCGAGTCTATTGCCATTGCTGGAGACGGGTATGGCATTGCCAAGGTCATTGGTCAACCCCTTACAGATCCTCATGGGTTGGGGCCGTAGTACATCCCAGGGCCATGGTGCTGCTCTACAGAGGGAGTGTTTGGAAATTAGGCCACCTGACACAGAGGCTGTTGGGGGGCCAGCTGCAGATGGAACTGGATGGTGACACCCCTCTTATTTCAATACGGCGATCTCCCCTGTTAGTCTCAGAAGGGCCTGTGTGGCTGCATCTTAGGACGGCTTATTCGGAGACACCAGACTTGCAGGGCTCGCGTGTCCCCTCCTCCATCTTGTCTGCAGGCCCGGAGTGGCCTGGCCTTGCAGAGAAGAGCCAAGCAATTAATGCCGAGCCACATGGATTGATGACGCACATTCCCTGCGCTGCATGATCAGGGCACCCTGTGCTTAGGAAACATAAGCGCAAACTAGAGAGGAATCTCCCAGCAAACCTCTCCCAAACGCAAAACCTGACTCAGTGTGTGCCCGCCTGTCATGGCTGCTGTGGCTCTTGAGGGAGGTGTGGAGCACCCGAGGAAGTCTGTCTGCACAGCCCACTCTCGCTGTCCTTGGCGGATTCAATAGGCTCAAAGCCACCTGCTAGACACAGGCCTCTGGGACCGGGACTGGATGCGCCAGACGCCTAGCCCATTGCTGCCCCAGATACAGCTCGCCAAGAAGTGCAGCTGCCGTGGCATCCAGCACACAGACCCTGTATTGACTTCACTAGCGTCCAGTCTTGTCAGAATCGGGTATGCTGATTCAACCTGTTCTTTGTGGTCGCCAAGCTGCTGGTCCCTAGGGATCTATTTCTGTGGTTCCCGAGAGCCCCCTGAGACTGGTGAGTGCAAATCATTCTCAAGATGTGACCAAGCCAAGGGAAAGTTGGCAGAAGCCACTGTTGTTCCCTCGCCTGGGTCTGTCCTGGTCTCAGCTCATTCAAGCACGGGCAGGGGTCTTGAACCATCCTTACACTCCATAGCCCTCCACCCTCCTCCCTTCAATTTGCCCCAAGGCCATGAAAGGAGGGCAAAGAATGTGGGTTCTCCCTGGGCTCTGTTGGGAACTTCATGCCCTCTCTATTGTGTCCCAGGACTTCCTGCTCCGCACTTAGGGTGGTGACTCTCGCCTCTCACAGCTCCAAGCCTCCTGTCAGAGGAGAAACCGAGGGCTTGGATGTCTGTTCCTCAGGGCGCGCCACGCGACTAGCTCAGGGTTAAGGCTAGGACAGACCCAGACAAGAGGGCAGCTGGAGATTTTTTTCCTGTCAGAAACAAGTCTTAAGCTTTTCCTTATCATAGAAGTTCCTGAAATCAAGTGCTCTCATTCTAGGACATGGCGCATGGCAGGGCACACACACTCATGCATACACACTCATACATGTGCACACATGTACACACACTCATACAGGTGTACACAAGAACACACACTCATACAGGTACACACATGCACACATTCACTCATACAGTGCATACAAGGACACACACTGATACAGGTGCACACAAGAACACACACACTCATACACATGCACACATTCACTCATACAGTGCACACATGCACACACACTCATACAGGTACACACATTCATTCATACAGTGCACACATGTACACACACTCATACAGTGCATACAAGCACACACACACTCATACATGTGCACACATGCACACACTCACCCATACATGTGCACACATGCACACACTCATGCACATGCACACATACCCCCACACACATGCTGTTGTTTTGCTAATGGTAGCAGCATGTAAGGAGAAGGATTTGGTCCCCAAACTGTACACTCTCTGAGGCGCATGGCTACTTTGCCGCTGTGATTCCCTGGGACAGTTTCCAGACTTCTCCATGACCCCTTCCTGAATGTGTTGGAGGAGAATCACGCCTGGGCTTGGTATGGGGGCAGAACAGATTATCGACATAGTCACACATGAACTCACCTGTCCCTGCCCCACCGGCAATGCTCTGGGTGCAGATCCTGCACAGAGCACACAGCGCCTGCCGCAGGAGCATGTCCACATTGGTGCAGAATAGTTGTTACTGTGATTACCCAGTTGTCTTTGGACTTAGTCACATTTTACTTTATGCCCACGCCTGGCTCAGATGCCATCAGCAAGTCTCTCTGTATTCCTTCTAGAAAACTAGAAAGCCTGCCCTGGGGTTTTGTTGGATGTGGGAGTCACTGCTGGGCTTAGCATGGCTCTCGTTTTTCTTCTCATGGATGCTTCCTTATTTATTATTTTTAGTTACTTATTTTCAGTTTTCGAGGTAGGATCTCATTAGCCTAGGCTGGCCTCAAGCTTTACATTTAGCTGAGGCTAGACAATCTCCTGGTCCTCCTGCCTCCATGTCTTAAGTGATACAGTGACAGGAAGATGCCACCAAGCCTGCTCCCTCTCAGATATGTTCAAGAGGACAGCATAGGTTTCCAGCTGTACCTGTCTGTGTGTGTGTGTGTGTGTGTGTGTGTGTGTGTGTTATATGCAGGCATGTGTGTGTTGCCCTTTTCCAGGGGCTACCTGGCTTAAAAAATACATATATTTGTTTTGTGGGTTTTTTTTCAGGGGGGTTATGCTTATGTAAAGTGTGTATGTGAAGATCAGAGGATAGCTTACCTGAGTTGGCTCTTTTCTTCTTCCTTGTGGGGTCTGGGACCCTCAGTTTGGCTGGGCTGGTTGGCTGGCTAACCAGGGGCCCAGTCATCCTCCCGGCTCCATCTCCCCAGTGCTGGGATTATGAATAGGCACTAACATGCCTGACTTACCACATGGGTACCAGGAGCTGAACTTGCATGGCAAGTAACTTTTGTCCCGTGACCTCCTCGTCTCACCTGAGCTGAGACTCACTCAGGCCGGTCACCTGTGTTATCGTGTGTGTGTGTGTGTGTGTGTGTGTGTGTGTGTGTGTGTGTGTGTGTGTGTGGTGGGGGGTTCATGATGACATAGTCCATGCTCTAGTCCCCACCCAGGCATGCCAGTTGAGGTCCTTGATACTCTGTGTCTTTATCCCACACCATTTGCTCTGCCGGCCCAGTCCCAGGAAAGGAATGCCAAAACCTGGGGTGGGGGGAAGGGGGAGTTGCCAGGCTCCATGTTGGAATCTGTGTCTGCCTTTCCTCCGGAGGAGAAACGCTGGAAGCGCCTGAAGCCAGCAAGGTGAGGGTGCAGCTACGGGTGCCTAGCTGCCTCTGGCCTGGAGACAGACAGGCCGGGCTGGCCCAAAGACAAGATGGCAGCTGTACAGAGGGCTCCAGCTTGGCTGCGCCTTGACAGCAGAGCCCTGGAGCAGGGCTGCTGACGTGTGCTGACTGAGCAGGTTGTTTACCAGGACGTTTTCCCAGCAATTGAAATTCCAGTAAGGGCTGGGGACGCACCACAGTGCAGTTTGTAGCACAGAGTGTGTCCCCCAGGGAGTCCCTGA